CCGTCTGCAGACTCCCTCCAGGAGCTTTCTGTGCCGGTGTCCAAGTCAGGACTGCACGCGCTGAGCGGCCCCCAGCCCAGGGCAGACCCCGTGGACCCCACTCCAGATCCATCACCGCTTGCAGCCCCTTGTCCATCCACCTCGTAGCAGTTCTCTCCAGCCCACTTTTCTCCCGTTTGTTTAAGAAAAAGGACCGTGTGGGACCTTGCCAGAAGCCTCGTGGGTGTCCAGACACTATCCACAGCATCCCCGTGGTCCACCCCAGCAGCTGCTTCGTCAGAGGAGATCAGGTTTGGTTGACACGATTTGTTCGTGGCTGGTTGTGACATGCTCTTCCTCAGCGTGTGCTGCAGGACCTGCCCGGGGCTGGCGGCGAGGCTCCCAGCTCTGCGTGTCTCTGGGGCCTTCCTATTGCCTTTCTTAGGCTCTTTTCCAGGCCTCTGGTACCTTGCCCGTCTCCCACGACCTGACCCACACCATTGCCAAGGGCTTGGCGAGGAAGGCAACCCCCCCAGTGCAAACCAGTCTGAGCAAGAGGGAAATCCTTTCCCGCCCCAGTGCAGTGTTGGCACCGGGGCAAGACCCTCCGGCCAGGGCCCTGCGGGTTGGCACCAGCAGGACTTGCGTTGGCACAGCCCAGCCCCGGCCCCAGCACCTCTGGGGGAGGATTAAACCCCTGACGTGCTGCAACTTCAAACCATCATTTGGTGACTTCCCGTCCTGGGCTCTGCCATGACGGCCCCAGGCCAGACCCAGCAGGAGGGGGGAAGCTGGGCACTGCCCGGTCCAAAAACTGACCCCTGGCATCAAGGCCTCAAGCAGGGAAGCTCCACGGCCCGAGTTGAAGGTGCTTCAAGGTCTCGTCGACCGGCTCCCACGCAGGCCTGGAGGTTTCACGACTGAGCTGAGCCCAGCAAAGCTCCCCCCTTGCAGCTCGTGGCTCCCAGCGCAGGATGGGCCGGCCAGCATCAAGGCCGTGCAGCCCCCGGCGCGGGCGCGGAGGTCAGTCTGTGGGTTTGCAATGGGTGGCTTGGCCTGGGATGAGGGCTCAGAGGACCTCCGCAGGTCCCTGACGTGTATGCCAGGCACCTCCACGGGTCACATCCAGCCCCATCCGCTGCTTGGGAGAGGATCAGACCCGCCAAGCTGCTCCAGGGTCACGGGCAGGGGTCCCCCTCTCCCAAACTGCCTCCTTAGCGTCTCGTCCGTGGCCTCCCTGACGTGAGCTTGACTTTCTCCGCTCCCAACCCCGGATCCATGGGAAACCAGAGCGCCCTCGCCGCCCTCCCAGCCGCGTCTTGACCACCCGAGCACGTCTGCGAGGCCCAAGAGTCGCTGGCGGAGCCAACGGGCAAGGGCCGGCGCGAGATGCCCGGGCCGGGACCCTGCACCTAGCGGCTACCCCTTGGCACGGGTCTCAGCAGCTCTGGTTGGTTGCTCTCCCCTCGGAGGCCGGGCAGCAGGGAAGGCAGCCAATCAGGCCTCTAGGTGGGTAGAGATGCCCGCCTTGAAACTCCCCAATATATCCCAGGGACGCGCGGGATGCAGCTGCCTCTGGGGTGGCCGTGACATTTAGGAGGCCAGGGACACTCGGGGCCGGACCCAGGTCCCAAGCCAGGAGCATGACTTGGGAAGAGGTCTTGGAGGAGATGGGCGCCCAGGAGAGGCACCGTGCACCGGTGTCCCTCTCTGCAGGACCCATCACCCTGCCCTCGCCCTACCTCCAGCTGGGAAACCACCCAGCCTGCTGCCTGCCGGGGCACTGGAGGGGCAGGGGCGGCCGGATGATGCCTGCGGGACGTGCGGGGCAAAGGCTCTGTCAGGGGACCCACTCATGCACCCCGGGTGCCAAGGCCAGGCACTAATCGAAGGCCAAAGCATGCCTCAGGGGGCTCCCATCCACCTCCCAACCAGGCCCAACCTGGCAAGCAAGAAGGAAGCCGACACGGACGCATCCCCCCAACCCTGGGCCCGGGCTGGGGGCTGCCCCAGGACGTGGGGTTGGTGCCTCTGGCGCGGCGCGGCACCAGCCCGGAGAAACAAGGGAATAAATAACAGCGCGCAGCAAAGAGGCCTGAACGGATGCCGCCGTTCGCCAGGAAACGAGAGACGAGTGTAATTTAGGTTTTGATATTATGAAAGTCGCGCTGCTCTAAAACAGCAGGGCACTCAGTGCCTCATTAATAAAGGATAAACTTGGAGTCTATTTACAATGCACTTTTTGGGGTTATTTACACTCCATTATACATACGTAATGCTGCACATATTTACCGCTCGGCTCCGCGGCGCCAGAGAGAGAGGCCGCGGCTGCCGACGCTGCCGGCTCCCCTTCTCGCCGCACCGGGGCTGGAGAGGGCAGGCCGTGCTGGGGGCGCTGGGGGCAGGATCCAGCCTCCGGGATAAACCGCTCCTGGGGTTTCTCACTGCCCGGGGCATTCAGCGAGGGGCGGCAGTGACTCGGACACGCAACCAAAGCGGCCCCTTTGCACCCATGGGCATCCAGAGTCGTAAGATCACCGAGTCCCGGAGCTGCGGGGCGGGCAGGGAGCTGCGGGGTCCCATCTAGTCCTGAGGCAGGGTTAGCCCCGTCCAAACGAGCCCAGACAAACCCCGCGTCCAACAAGACACAGTCACCCCGACACAGCCCCTGGCATCACCCCACTCCAGGGGGCCGCGGCCACAAACATCCTGCTGCCGCCGGGGGGTCACGGGCGCTGCAGAGCCCAGGCCAGGCCGAGCCCCCGCTGCAGAAGAAGGGAAACCCCCCCAGTGCAACCAGTCTGGGCAGGGGGGAAATCCCTTCCCGCCCCAGTGCAGCATTGGGCTGAGCCTGAGCCTGAGCCCAGGGGCAAGACCCCCCCAGCCAGGACCCTGCGGGGTTGGTGCCAGCAGGAGCATTGGCCCAGCCCAGCCCCATCCCCATCCCCATCCCCATCCCCCAGCACCTCTGGGGGAGGATTAAACTCTCCCAACACATGAAGCAGACAAGGGGGTGGGGAGCAACCGGCACAGCCCAGGGGCCTGGGACCCCCACGGCAGAGCACGGGCATCGCTGCGCTCTGCCATGGCCCCCCCGCTCTGGCAGCGCAGCGTTTCCGGGGGGGCCCGTCTAAACCCACATCATGCGTCACAAAGGCAGCACGACAAGAAAAGCCCATCCTGTGTGCCCCCCGGCCAGCAGGAAAGGGGCCAAAGGGCCGTGTCCTGGTGCAACGTGACCGCAGAAACACCCTTACCGTATTTCCTCGGTTATAACGTGCACCCATTTTCAGCAGCTGAATTGCAAGGGTGGGGGGGAAGGGGGGGTTATAGGTGAGAAGATACTGTACATTGTGGACACACGATCTCTGCCCCATGGCAGCAACCCCTGGCGAGAGCTACCCCGGCTTCCTGGGAGGGGGCTGCACGCTGGAGCAGGGGGACGTGCCCCTGGAAGGCTGCCCGTGGCCTGCCCGCCCTGCACTGACCCTGGGGGGAGGCCAGACTCCGCCGGCGCAGCCGTGTTGCGTGTGTGCTCCCAAAGCTGGAAGGAGCTGGAGGGTGGCGCCACTGCCCTCTAGTATCTGGGCCAGGGACTGTGCCAGTATGTGTCATAGACCCTACTCAGCTAGGAGCGATTCTCCTGCTGCAGGCTGGCGCGGGATTTGAGGATTGAGGATTTGAACGCTGGGCCCTGGGTACCCTCCCTCCCTCGCACTGGGGGACCTCGGTGCCTGGGCCTGGAGGGTGCAGGGCGGCTGCGGCGGGTCTGCCCGAGTGGCTGCCCTGACCAGGCAGGGGGGGCTCAGTCCACAGCTGCCCTCGAGAAGTCACTCTGGAGCCAATCCAGGGCTGTGGAGAGGGGTGCCCAGCCTCCTCTCATCACTGCCAGAGCCAATCTGGAGTGAATCTGGGACTGACTCAGAAGTGAATCCAGGCTGAATCCAGAGCGACTCTGGAGTAAATCCAGGATGGACTCTAAAGTGAGTCTAGACTCCAGAGTGAATCCAGGGCTTAATCTGGGGTTAATCTGGATCGACTCTGGACTGAATCTGGGGTGAGTCCAGGGTGGAATCCATATTGACTCTAGAGTGAATCCAGGACTGAGTCTGGACTGACTCTGGAGTGAAACAGGCTGAATTTGGAGTGAATGTGGGATGGACTCCCAAGTGAATTTGGGACTGAATCCAAGGTTAATCTGGATTAACTCTGGTTTGAAGCGATTGCTGAATCCAGAGTGACTGTGGAGTGAGTCCAGACAGTCTCTGGGAGACCCTGGAGTGAATCCAGGACTGAGTCACTTTGGGGGGAATCCAGAGTGACTCCGGAGTGAGCCCCATGAAGCCCCAGCAGGGCAGGGTGCATCAGCCGCAGAGCTCCAAACCCAATAGGCCCCTGCCCTTGTGGATGAGATGTGTGAGGACCCAATCCCTCTGGATCTGTTTGCCCCGGGCATTCAACTGCCCGTGATGCCAGTGCCCCATGCTGGAGGCTCCAGCTGCCCCTGGCAGACGTGGCAGTGCAGCCAGGGACCCTCTTCCCTGGGGCCCGGGCAGGAGGAGTCCCTGGTGTTGGGCATCGCCAGTGGCTGGAAGTACTGGGAGAGGAACCCAGGAGCCCCGCATCCTGGCACCC